TGAAAAGTTGTTCACCTTAGAAAGGATATAGTAATTATAGCAGTATGTTCTCGTTTTGTTAAAAAAACACTGCTTTCAGAAAAGGAAAATTTCTTGGAAATTTTATAGGAAGACTGAAAGTGGGTAACATACTGCTGGGTATTTTCACTTGGGATGCTATCATCGTACAGTCTTCTGTCCAGCAAGCATCAAGAGGTGAAATCAAATACGATACACTATACTAAAATGTATTTTAAAAATGAAAACTAAACCCAACACACCAGAACCCCTTAAAGGAACACAGAGGTAGGCCACAATTACTACATAACTTCATCCTTGAAAAACTCAAGGTGCAAACAGGGTACCTCTGATCATGCAACAGAAGTGAGGCTGGTGAATCTGAGAGTGACTGAGACTGCCTGACAATCCCAAGATGGAAGACGACGTAAGGCACAGATAAAATGAAAACGGGAAGTTAATGGCAGTGACTTGCTAGAGAAATCTGGATCTACTGAAAATGTCAGCTGTGTAAAGAAAGAAATCTCCACACTTGGTAGGGGCCCCGCAGAAGGAGCCTTCTTCGTCCTGTTGTCAGTTGTTGTCATTACTGCAAACCTGTTAAAGAAATGAGTATTAAAAAAAAATGAGTATTTAATACCTGTTAGATTTAAAACAAATACAAAAAATGCGTTACTAACAATGACCCTCAATTTTTAGGGAGAATAGATATAATAATTTAACCAACATAGAGATATCTTCCGGCAAACAGAATTCACCTTCTTAATGAACACTTAAAAATATTTAGAGAATCAATGCAGGTTTATCAGAGGTGCTACCTTGCAAAACCAAGAGAGGAAGTGCAACGGCTGGTAACACAAATGACTTAATGTCACAGAATGGCCAGAGAGAAGACGTGACCTTTGTTACTTTAGAATCAACATCCTTGAGTAAGAGACTTTGGCTGGTTAGTCCAGGCTAGCGTCAGAACCAACAAAAGTGAGGAAAGTGAAATAAAAGAGGTGACAAGCTGTGGGTGAATTTCTGAATCAAAATATATTTACCATTTTTTTAAGTTTCTGTTTTTGGAAATTACTAGCATTTTTCAGAGCTGCAATGCTAACAGTCACTTTAAAGAACTCTTTAATGTTGTTAATGGATAGTAGTTTTATCACACGCTTCAACTTTTTTATTACTTTAAGAAGGAAACATTCAAAGCACAAACACAAAGACCTTGAGTAACATTCTTAAACATTACTGTAATCTTTTATTCTTTGTTGTGATATTAATAGTTTTTCTACCAAAAAGGGATTGAAAAAATAAAATTCACATATTCTTTGTCAAACAGTTTCCTTATGCAATGCCAATTTAGATCACTTCTTTAAAAAGACAAAACCAGGAGGAAATGATTTTCAAAAGCTTGCCCACAATGACATTTCTCTCATGAGATACCTGCTGAAAATTAAAATGTACAGAAGTAATCATCAATCCGATTAATGATGGTACCCATTCACAATGGTAAACATTAGTAATAAGATGCAGTATTTTGCAACCACATTGCCCACTGTGCACTGTATACACGTAAGCACTGTAAACTCACCCACATGGATCAGATCTTCAACCTCACTCACTTAACACCTGCTCCTTAACAGCCCCAAGTATTCAGTCCATGAATTCCAATGCTGAGATTTTCGGCAGAAGTGAATATTCTTTAAAGGAGTGCCACACAATTGAAAAAGCAAAGCCAAGATATTTGAGGGGTATACAAATGTAAAATGGTTTTGGGGAGCAGAGAAGAAGGAAATACCTCCAGCATACAAATCTTCTCTCAAGTGTATTGTTGCTGCTGTCCACGGAGTCAATTAGGACTCACAGTGACCCAGCATGACAGAGCTGAGCTTCCCCACAGGCTTGTCAGACGTAAGCTTTACAGAAGCTAGGTATGCCAGGTCTTTCTCCCACGGAGCCTGCGTAGGTCCGAGCTGTCGATATTTTGGCTAGCAGCTGAGTACTTAATCATCGTGCCACCAGGGCTCTTTGTACCAAGCATGATAATTATACAAAGGAGAGGGGGGAAAAAGTCCAACTGTCAATGCAACAGTTTCATTTCTTCTTTGTCCAGTTGCCAGTTGGGGTGGGGTCAAGGGAATGGGTAATTCGGAAAGTAAGACTGGCGACCTCTGCCTGCTCTGAAGATGCATGCAGAGTCAACTGCTTTGATATATGAGGCTTCAGACATTAACAGGCAAGGGAATAGGAAGACATCTTGCCATCCTTTCCTGGGAGGTACAAACTGTTCATGCTAAACCAGGAAATCCTTTGAATGCTTTGGCTTTTCTAGGAATAATAACTGGCAAAAAACAAAACAAAAAATCAAAATCCCAAAACAACAAAATTATGTTAACATAAATTAATTAGTGGGACTCGTATCTTATATCTTAAAAGGCAACATGGGATTTATGTGTAAAAGTCCCAATTTGGAGTATTCATTTCTCCAGTTGAATTCCAATGCAACCAGAACATTGGGTATGTCCTGGGACAGGATATATATTTGTATGTATCTAAAGCAGGTCTGTGTGAGGGTGGGGGGGAAGCCTGGGGTGCCACTTCTCCACCTGAAATGTTGATTCTTATATTCTATGCACTGGAGACCATTGTGTAGGACAAGAACTACTTTTTTTAAAACTCTCTGTGAGCCACAAAGAGATGTCTAGGTATCAAGATTGGTAATTTTCTTCTTTTATTTGATAATATGAAAATGAATTTTCAAGCAGACCAGAGGGAAACTAAGTGAGCATCTTCAGGGGTTGCTTTAGAATATCTGCACCTGTCCGAAGAGCTGCAACAGGAAGTACTCTTGAAGACTGCAGTAACTGAGGTGTTCTTCTGTACCAGTGTGAGTAGATTTTACATGTATTGTTCTTCTTGACTACTAGGTTTCTTTCACTCATTTAAAAAAACAACAACAAAAACCAAACAAACACCCAAAAAACAAACCCTCATTGGGGTCAGGTTGGAAAGACTCATAGGTGATTGTCCAGTGGGTTTACAGAGGCTGTAAATCCCATGAAAAGAAACTGCCCGTCTTTATCTCTTGGAGCCAGTGATTGATCCAACCACTAGAGGCCACTAGAACATCCTCATTATACACTCATTATAACATGTGCACATAAGCTTATGTGATTACATATATAAGCACATAACATGTTGTAATGAGGTGTCATCAAGTTGACTCTGATTTACAACAATCCATCATACAACAGAAAGAAATCCCACCTGACCCTGTGCCACCTTCATAGTTAGAACCTGGCAAAGCTGAAAAGCACAGCTATGGGTCAAAGTCCTCACGATGAAAGAACGGTATCAGTGGCTCAACAAGGGAATTTCAAAATTCTAGGATTTCAGAAGTTGTTTAATCAATGCAATTTTAAAACATTTTGAATGGATCCTAGAACACTATGTACTACTACAGAAATATTTTCTTTTAAAATTGCATATATAGACAATGTACTTCACCTTTTCTACTCCTACAGAGAGAGCATATTTTAAAAACGTCTTTTTAAAATAATGGAAAATTTCCAAGTAATAAACTCATAGAAAGTAATGATTTACCAGTTACTCTGCCTCTATAGTCCACTAACCTGTCTGTCCCTTTAGTGCAGTACCCGTGGGAGAGAATATCATTCTTAGGAGAGATCTATACATTTGGCAAACCTTCAAAGGCCTGGCTCTATTTGGCAAATTCCCTTTAGACAAACTCTTGGAAAGGGTCTGCTCAACCCTCCCTCCTGGTTAAACTTCTGGATATTTACCAATTTCAAAAGTCTATTAAGTGATTGGCATTTGACCTTTACTTAACCAGTAAAAGCCTATTATAAATATTATTGTTATTGCTGGGCCTTATAAGGAAGATGATAACTATTATCTCACAAATGCAGAGAAATCTAGACTTTCTATAACACTACAATTCTGAAGTAATGCGATACTAGGCACATGACGAAAATGACTTATTTTGTTTGGTCATAAGATACCAGCTTAAACTTTTTAGTAAGGGCAGTACTATTCACTTCTCATTCACTTTGTAAATGGGCTGGGCCACTGTCAAATTTTGGATTCTTGGGAAAGTCACTTAAGTCTGCAAAGAAACTGATTCAATACTGTAATAATTTGGTTCAATGATTAAAGTTCATTTATGTTTTTTAAAAAAAATATCAGCCTTTGGGAAAAGAGGTAGAAGTCAGTCTGAATTGATAGAACTTTTATGGTTTGGTCATGATGAATTTAAAAAATACGTTTTTTTTTTTCAATAGTTATTTTCTGTTCTAAATGAGGTAAAATTTATAAAATCTGCATTAAGGTGATGTTGAGGGCACTCTGGTGATAATAATGATGAGGTTAACTTTGTCAAAATAAAAACGTCCAAAGGAACCATTACTTGTTATTTATCAGCTATGAACTTCACACTACACTGTCCAAAGACAGTAAACAAATGGGTTTCACCCCATTAAGAGAATCGTCACCACAAACCCATGTTGAAGGAATATGAAATTCAGAAGGCAAGCCTTCTGAACAGAGTTGCATGATGCAATAATAAGGTCTTTTGAGTTACAACAGATAGGGAAGATAGCGAATATATTCCTTTATGACCAACCCTAATTTAGAAACCTGTGTGGCGCTCACATTTCACTGGGCATCACACATACATGGACTGAGCAAAAGCATCAGACCTTATTGACATCTGAGATCTAAATAAATAAGGAAAAAAAGGGCTGTCCTGTATACCTAGAAACAGCTGTAAATTGCGGAAAAACTTTACAGGGTACAGTGTTTACTGTAGCACCATGGACTGTGATAAAATCCCATGTCTACCACTGTGGCAGGACAGAATGCACTCAGGATGCAGGAGTGATGATGGGTTTGAGGCATGTCGATCTCTGCTCCCAAACCAGACAGCAGGTTGTAATTTCAGAACAACAGGATACAGTGAATACAAATTGTGTAATGTTCCTTCTTCCCTTTTCTTCTTAGGTGGGTTTTCCTGCACTAGGGGCAGGAACTGCAGTAGTGCTTTTTGGCAGAGGAAATCCGAGTCCTAATCCTTTTGGCCGCTGCATGGCTTGAATTGGCTCAGCGATCCCTTTGCCATCTCGGCCCAGGCCTGACCCAGGTGTCCAACCCATACTCTGAAGCATTCGGTTTCCAATGTTGTTTTCTAAGATTGGCTGCGCGTTTTCACCTACAAATCCTGAAATAAGACAACATGCATTAGTACTGACACAGGTAAAAATCTTCTCTGGCCAAATATACATGCCACATTCTCTGGGCTTGGTTTGTTGTCCATCTACTCCTCTACTCCCCCAAAAAGTACCAGGCAGGGTTGTTTATCTATATTTAGATAAGAAACTTTAAACACACCAAAATCAATGGGATGGAAATTTTTAGTTGGAGTTTCAGATTGAAGAACTGTAACTATGTAAGTTACATAACCTTTCCAAGCCTTTGTTTTGTCATCTGTAAAACAGGCATAATGCAATATACCCTGCCTGTTTTACAGAAAGTTGCTAAGATGATGCATGCATGTAAAGAAGTGCTCAGTGAGCCACAAAACTGTAAATGGATCTACCCGTATTAGCCAATTAGCCTCGTTGATAATTCTAGAAATAGCCAGTTTTAACATCATTCCACCATTAGTGGGGTGATTCTAATTCACTGCAACCCTGTACAACAGAGTAGAAGTCCCCCGTTGGGTTTCTGTTGCTACACATCTTTCTTTGATCATAAAAGCACTGTAACATCATATTATTTGTGTAGGATCTTGACTTTTAAAAAATGAGAACCAATGAAAGCAAAAGTAAACAAAAACAGTTGATGACATCTTAACTCCTAGGAGTTTATGTTTTTATAACCTCCTCCTGCTATTTATTATTCAATCTGGAACTCATGCATCCTTTAATTATCTTCCTCTTTATCCCATTCCACATTTAATGTCTGAAAAAAATGGGAGTGGAAAGGAAGCAGGCGTGTACATGTGTATATAGTAAATCCATGGTTGACACATACAGGTTCTCAGCTACCAGGGCTCAAAAGACTGGTAGCTAACCTACCTTTCTTATCTTCAATCCTCATTTTAGAAAAGGGGACTGGCTAGTGCTTAATGTGAAGTTTAGAAAAAGCTGCTGTTCCCTTATTTTTCTTAGTAAAGAAAAATGAGAGGTGCATCTCTTTTAGTCATTTTCTAGGACTAACTTTATGACATCTTTTAGACCCTCTTCTACGTCTTGAAAATAATACTGAGGATGGTGATTCAATGTTCAGAAGCACAATTAACAATGACAACAATATTACATTAAAGCTTTTAGAGTAGTCCAGTATTCTATGCTGAGTAAACAAATGGCCCAGTTTCTTAATGCTTTTTACACTGTACATACAGGCATTCATATGTATTTTCTAGTATAGGCATTATACAGCAAAATAAATGCCAGTGTATCTTTCCTGGGGTGGCAAGCGAGTTTCTCCCTAGGATAAGACAGAAAACAGAGACAAGCTAGAGATAAAAAAAGTTCTGTTTTAGTAACTGAAATTCTCCATTTATTACAGAGTAATCATCAGTCTTATTAAAAATCACTAATATTCCTAGTCTTCACTGGCATTTAGGACTGAGAATAAAATACATGGTTGCCATTGGGTAAATTTACTACACGGTCTAATACCTGGGTCACCATGAGAACATGCTGGTTTGGGACTTAAATCAGTTATTAGCTGATGGTAATAAGGACAGTACCTTACATGTGATAAGAAAACCAAATAAATAAAAAACCTTCAATCGCCAGCTGCAGCCTCAATGGAATATGTTGATGCCACAGAAAAATTCTTGACTAACACGGTTTATTGTTTGATCAGGGCAAAAGAAATACATACACAAAGAGTGGAAATTTCTAATTAGACACTGTGTTAAAATTGAAGAACATCACCCGAACTTCCTAATTAGAAGATGGGAGGTTTGGGGGTAGATTTACATTTTATGTATCTCATTAAGTTGATAAATCGAAAAATCTAAAACCTGTACCCTGATTTGCAAATAGGAAAGCACTTTTGAAAAGAAATCTTGCCATTATAGAGTGACCAAAAAAGAAAAATGAAGTTTTTATTTTTAAGTGGCGATTACATAGGCAATCAAGATAGAACTCTACGAAAAATGAAATTGTGCTATTTTTTTTTCCTGAGCAGCTGCTAATCAGGTACATCAGGTTAAACAGCACACGAACAGTCTGTCCCACACCCTGACTGTCCAGTGATTGCCATGAATTAATTTAATTCCATCTGCAGGCTGACATCAGATCAGAGGTCTAACGCTGCTTCAGGCTACACATCTGTTTAGCCATATTTTTGATATAACAGATTGCAAAAAGTTCAGGTTTAAAATTTGTTTAGTATTTAAGGAAAAAAAAAAGAGGAGGCTAGCTGAAAATATATCTACAACAGCTAAAACTGCAGTTACTTCCCTGTCCTAAAGCAAACAGGACACAGTAACTGGTTCATTAGCACAATTTAAGAATGTTGCTATCTCAAGAACAGAGCGGCTGTCCTCTGTCCATGACTGTCTTTATATAGGTGGAAAAGAATACGGTCTTTATCTCTTGTTTTAAGTGTTGGTGTCATTTATTTTTTATTGTAATAAAAAAAAATGAAACTAGACATCATCTTACATATGGGTAGGGGGGTAGGGAGACTCTTTAATTCCTCTAATGTGAACTCCTTTTGTACACAGGGGGATAAGAGAATCATAAAAAAGGGAATAAAAACCAAACCAAAATGAAAAAGTAAAACCAGATACTTCAGTTTCATGGAAGATGATTTTGAAAGAGACGTCCTGTTGGTCTAGCATCCTTCTTTTACTGGTGTAAGATTTGTGAGGTCTGAGCACAGTACACACCACAACTGTGACTTTCTTCTGCTCCGCAGTGCTAAACCCTCTAAGTCCTTGCCCAGGAGTGCTTCTGCTCGAGCCATTTTGGCTATCCGCAGCCTGCCAATGCTGCCACGTGTTCCCCCCTCCGGCCCCTTAGATCTCATATCTATTACAGCACAGTTGGTCCTTTCTCCTCAAATCTTCCAAAGAGTATTGTAGATGGCAATTCACTTGCGTAATTGGCTCAAGAGATGAAAATCTTGTATCGGCCTCTCTTAGCTGCTAATCTATCCAGCTGACTGCAAGCCTAATAGGCAGCTTGTTTAGTAATTTGGCTCCTAAAGTGTTGTATTGATGTTGGATAAACAGTCAATGGAAGCGGAGGTGATACGTACAGCTTTGCACAGAACAGCTAGTGCACTCCGCCTGGCCCTACCCTGCATTCAGACAAGGTAGTTCACCCTTACTCTTTCTCACCATTTCCCACTCTTCCTTACTTGACTAGCCAACTAGGGTGTGGGGGCTATTATTAACAGCAATGTTATTTCAATTGTGAGGGGGAATATGGCCCTCAGCTCCCAATAACCACTTAAGAGACACAGATTTCTTAATTACTGTCAGAAACTCAGGAAAAAGCATTAAGCAGCAGTTTGCTACATGAGAACGTGGTGGGTCTTACCAGTTTCTGACAAATGTTTTAATTATTTTATTTTTAAAATACAGTAATACCTTACCTACTCAGATGAGCACATTTCACTTATAATATTGCAGACATTTTTAGGAGAATTTTGTTCCACAGAGATTTCAAAGCTGTGCTCATCTGAAAGCAGATCATCAGCCTGTCTTCTGAGGTTTGTCTGGGTGGGCTTATACTGCCAATCTTTCAGCTGGTAGTTAGGGATTTAACCAGTTGTGTCACCCAGAGACTCCATGACATGTATAGACATGGTTTCATGCATAATACTTGCTAGTATTGATAATACTAGCTCTGACAAGATGTTGTGCTGCCAAACTTAAGTTACTTGGTTTGAATCCACCAGTTGCTCTGTGGCAGAAAGATGGACAATATTCTCCTGTGCAGTTTACAGCCTCTGAAAACTTGCTGGTTCTGAATCAATGACACACACCAACAAAAACAGTAAGGAAATAAGGGAACTCTTGGAAAGCAGCAGCATTGCCCAACCAAAGGCATGTGGGTAGAATCCACCAGCTGCTCCACAAGAAAAAGATGGGAAATTTCCTCTCATGCAGTTTAATGTCTCTTAAAACCCACTGGAGGGTCAGCTATTGAGGGTTCTGCCTCAAAGTTACATTAACAAAAACAACAAGTAGGACAATCAGGAGTTCTGATGGTGTAATGAATACCACGGTGTATTGCTAATCAAAAGAGAATTAGTCTGCATCCACCAGCTACTCGATGGGAGAAAAGATGGGCAGACGTCTCCTGTAATGATTTACACCCTTGGACGCTCAAACTGATTTGGCAGCAGTGAGTTTTCAGGTTTGCCATATAAAGATTCCTGTTTTTCTACAGTTATCAAAATTCTCAGTCATTTCTTTCTCGATCACTGCACTCCCTTTGAGCTCTGGTGGCATGGAAAACTAAACAGTCAGCAGTTCAAAGCCAACAGCTACCCTTCAGAGGAAAGATGGACAATTTCTTTCTGTAAAGATGCATGGCCTCTTCCAATGGAGAGCTGGGCTTAGCAGCTATGCACTGGAACCAACTCGATGACAAAGCATTTATTTGTTGTTTAACTTCTCCACTCTTCTTTCTGAGAGTTCTATTTTTAAGACATATGCTGAACTTCTTTCTCCTACAAATACCCTAGCCTCTCTCACATATTTTCCATGTCTGTGTGCTGCATTTTAGGTAGTTAATCCATATTTGCTGTCTTTTCAGCTCGTATACAGCTGCTGTTTAGCTATTCAGCAAGGGTCTAATTTTCAAGATTTTTCTGAATTAAGGAAATAATTTTTCATTCCTATTTGATTGTTTAGTCCATCCACCTGTTCTTTCCCATGTTTCGTAGAATCTGTGATTTTGAGTTAAATACTGAGTTACAGATTATATACTTATTTTCAAGAGTGGTGGTGTCTTGAAGACTTGAAGGTGGGCACCTCTTAAAGTGGTCACAATGGCTTCAGAAAACTGGTTTTATGTTCTTCCTCTTTCTCTCTCTTTTTTCTATAGCAGAATTTAAAAGCAGAAGCCTATATGAGAGTATTAATGGCTATCAATTTTAGTTTTAAATCTTCAGAGTTTTCCCTGGTATTAAGAACATTGTTCATCTTTCCTGTGTCTGAAGGGATTTGGTTCCTTGTCTACCCTTTTT